TCCTCGTTGTATCTAAAAAAAGAGGCGGGAAGGGGGGGGGGGGGGGAGCCCAAACCGACTTTAAACGGTACATTAGTGACAACATGCGAAGGACCATGTGACCAGATCATTCCTAAAGCTAAATCAACACCTTGTCAACACAATGCAGCGACAAAAGTGAAAAACAAATGTCATTTTCACAGTCTGAAACCCATAAACCCCCATCGGATGCACTGGCACCAACATTAGATGCACACATACTATTTAAAATGAGAGGGAATAAGAGGTAAAGGGGAAAGTACACCGGGGGAAAAAACCCTGTCAGCCACGTCAATTGCAGAGTAAATTATTTTCTGTCAACCAGATCCTGAAAAATGCAACGTGACAGCGTTGCTCCAGCGCAAGCTCTTCGTTTCCCCGTGTCAGGGCTCCCAGCACACCAGCTCCCGTCCTCGGTCCCCCCTCTCCCCGGGCAGAGCCTGCGAGCCGCCTCTCCCCGCAGCACCGGGCGAGCTGGGGAAGTCTCAAGATGCGAGGTTCTCCCCAGCCACTCGCAAACTTCGATGTTATGCAGCGGGAAAAAAAAGAAAAAAAAGAAAAAAAAAAACAAAACCACCAACCCACCAAGCTTTCTAAAAGCTTTGAATTTCGGCCAAACTGCCCAGGACAGGGGTACAATATTCCTCAAGAAGTGTGCACAGCGCCAACGAGCGACCCCAGCCAGGAAACTTCTCTCGCTGCTGCAGGAGAACCCTCGAGTGAGCAGCAGATAAAACTCCCCAGCATCAAACCGCAGCCGGCCAGCACACAGAAAAGCAAAGTGCAAGAAGCACCAAGCCAGACCAGGTCCCCAGAGCTGTTCCTAGCCCCGTGCGGGAAAGCAAGCCCCCCGCTGCCTTGCACTGCGGTTTAAATGTTGCTTCCAGGGTCCCTGACCCTCCGCTTCTCACTTTTAAACCGATACCGAGGGTTTGCTCTTCCCAGCGAAGGCAGAGCCCGGGCTCCTGCGCTCCTCCCTGAAGAGCCCAGCGCCCTGAAGCCGGCGCCTCTCGGGTCCCTTGAGGGACTCAGACAGGGACAGGCTGCCTCCACGGCTCTGCCTTTTATTTGGTCAAGCCACTACCTTATAATTCGTAAATATCTGAACCAAAAAACCCAGCGGTGACCGAGGTCACGCAAGTCGGCGGACCGAGAATTCCTTCCCAGCCCTGACGGGCTGGGACAAACCCTTCAGGACAGCAACGCGCTTATTTCACGCAGGCGTAGCCCCTTCCTAAATGGAGGGGGGGTTTAAATTCAACCGTGAAACCTGTTTTGTCGAAGCAACCCCTAAACGCGGATTATTTATTGCCCAAAGTTAGCACATTTTCAACGTGCTGTCAGCTATCTTCGAAACCAGGGATTTTCTCCAGCGAGCTGAACCAGGCGCCCAACTTCTCCCCCAAAGCCACCCGCACAGGCACAGGCACACGCGTGTCCGTGCCTGCGGGCATGCAACACGAACGCAGCGCATCTCACCACAGCAGCCTGAGCTCGATATTTTGGTACGAGGGAAACCCTTTCAGATTTTTTTTTTTTTTTATGCCCGGGCTGATAGCACGGCGAATGCCAACGCTTCACACAGTCAATACACACAGCCTCTTAAGCAGGACAATATATATTTACACATGGACACACGGAACAACTAAACGTAAAATATACGGAGATAATACTCGCTAGAAGTAAACACCGCCAGCCGACTGATTATTTAGAGGCCTTGAACGGGTTATGTCAAAATGAAGAAAAACAGAAGTGCATTCCCCTGCTAAGAATCAGCTACATTATTAAAAATCTATAAGGGCAATAAGCTATCAAACCTTGCTCGACAGGTCTCTACCAGAAAAGACATACACAAAAACCAGAAGCATCGCTCGGGTAGGTTTGTGTACTTTGCACCCATCTCCTCTCGGAAAACTCTCTCATCAGGAATAAAGCAGCCGTCATTCTACATCTTCACCTATTATCAGCCAGAGCCACTTTTACTATCGAGCCTGGTATTGCTCCTTCGCTTAAGAATGGCCACAGATGCTGGAAAGGAGGGACGGTGCCTTTTCCCGAGGAGGCACACGGGGCTCAAATATCCCTGCCCAGCTCGCTGCAGCGAGGAGAGTCCTGAATATTGGCAACACACTGCAAAGGGACCCCAATCCCTCAAATCGCCCCCCGACTAGGTGAAGGACACTATCCGTCTACTTAAAAAAATAGACTAAAATGTTAGTTTTGTACTAGCTAAGCGATCAGGTAGGTCAGCCCTCCGTGTCTCTGGCAAACTGCAGCACAAGCCTGTCTCACTCTCCAGGACGCACTGCGCAGAGTCACTCAAAGTAGTTTTGTTGGACTGTAGCTCCAGAATCTCCCCGGTCTTTGGGACAGCCCCATCAAATCAGTGGCTCTGACCACTACGGACCACGCAAAAAAATCCTTTTAGTGCCAAGCTCGCAAATGGGCACGCACGCCCAGGTTTTCCTCAACTTTTCTGGAGAGTGGAGGAGGGAATCAAAGTTTCTCGAGGCTGGAAAGTGACTATCTGACTTTTACAGAAATGCGACTTTTCTGCTTATTTTTACCTGCTTACTTGCAAATATTTACAGCAAACCCAGAGAAACATCCCGCGCTATATATTGCCAAGGCCACACAATTACAAAAACACACACCAGCAACTTTCCAGTGCTGCCCATCAGCAGCACGAGGAGCCCACTCGTGACATCTTTCAGATCTGACAAAGGATTTCACGTAAATTTACCCTTCCCGGGCTCAGGAGGAGAAAAAAAAATACCAACCGGAGAAAAGAAATTCAAAGAACCCCCCCGCGTCCCACAGACACATCACCCCTGCTCCACAGGCTCCAGCAACCCGCATGCCCCAGCTCCCCAAGACCGCAGCCCAGCTGCCACCCTGACCCCCCCAAAAAGTTGTTTCTCGGTCTTGGCCGCCCCTTTCCTCTGCCAGCAGGCACAAACCGCCCAACTTGAGCATTTAGAGCAGAAATGTAAGAGGAGGCATTGGAAACAACTGGGAACCGCCATCTTACAACCCATCCAATTTCACACAAGTACTTGTCCAACTTAAGTTAATAACATTTTCTGCTGGGCGCCCCGACGCCTAACAACCCCTCCAGGAGGATCGCTACCCCCCGCTGGCTCTATCTCTATAAAATGGGTGCGTTATCTGACATTTTAACCTCCCCCAGACACATTTCTTTCGGGGAGGACTGAAATCACTTGACCCAGGCAGCTCCAGATTTCACGAACGTCCCTGTTTAATCAAAATCTGCCTTTAAACAAAGGGCGCTCAGGCCGGGCTGGCAGCAGGGTCTGGAAATATAAATATTCTCCTCGGGGGCCATGTGCACAGAAAGGTTTTAGGGGGCGTCTGGAGAAAGAAAGGAACTAAAATTTGCAAATGTGGGTGCGTAACGCGAGCGAGTGCACAGGCTGCTGCTGCTGCTGCGTGTCTATATGTGTGTGTGTGTGGCTGGAGCAGCCTGTCAGCGCTTTTCCCATACGGAGAGCTCGGGGGACACCTAGGCTCCCCTTTGCAGCCCCCAAACCGGCCGAAAACCGCCGCCGAGCCCCCTTCGCCCCCCGCCCTTGGTAAGGCGACACCTCGCTTCATACGTACCCGGAAAACGGAGCCGGTGGGTGACGATCGGAGCGGCCAAAAAAGACAATGAAAGTTAAAAGTCGTTCAGCAGAAAATGAATGTGAGCCAAGCGGCCATCTTGAAATGAACTGCAGACGCTGTCAATTGCAATAAGCTTATTGCCGCCGCCGCCGCTGCGCTCCGCTCATTTTAGTTACAAAACACCCGGGTCTCCTCCGCTCGTCCACCGGCCCTTCTCGCTCCCTCGCTCTCCCTCCGAGTTCGCCGCCCCGGCGGCTCAGGCGCTGGGAGCGCAAAGTCTCCCCGGTCCGGATGGGTCCTCTCTCCACCAGCCCATTGTCTCTCCCTCTGCCCCCCGCTCCGCCTCGCGGCCTCGCTCGCGTTCCTCTTTTTATTATTATTGTTGTTATTACGAGTATTATTGTTGTTGTTATTTCATAGTTG